TGTTAATTCGTATGTAAACTTCACGAGATTTTGTGACGTCATCCGTTGATTGGTTTTCATCGATAGTCTATGTGCGTGAGCTGTCATTTGACATGACGTGTCGCCAAAAATACAAAATTAAAATCCTAAGTTATTAATCATCAGTAAGTATATCGCGTACAGATAATAATAAGGTTCATCCGTTATTAAATAAATAATAAAGCAATAAACAAAATTCTATTTTTGGGTTATCGATATTTTTATCGACTAACTAACGCATATCTTTATCGAAGCCGATAATCAAGTTGTTAGTGTTTGTATACTACTACAAAAGATTTAGTTACTTTATCTCTACTTTGTTGGGGATTAATGCATATTATAATTATTTATCAAGTATCGTACGACATTGAAGTTTAACTAAATTGTTTTAACCTAATCTCTTGAGGAATTTTATAATTGTATCCGTAATGGTTCGTTACTTTTTAGATAATTGGGATATTGACAGGGTATGAAAAATAAAAATCTAATTAGTACGTAAGTTAGGTAATGAAAAAATCGACAAAATAAAAAAAGACAAGTATTTTTTTATTTTGTCGGATCAAAGTTTAGGAATGGGGGCCAAAACGTCATTTCTACGTATAAAATGTACATAGAAGTGACGTCACGCGACATTTCAAATCAATATATCGTCGAAAGTATTCGTTTCCGTAAGGAAATAATAAATATGTGTCTAATGATTTAAAATAATCTACCAGACTGAACATTAAAATAAAAATTAGGCATCTACCCTATTCAAGGATGTCGGAATGTACCCTATCCTAAAGCTGGACAAGTGAACAATCTGAATATTCATATTTCCTAACAATTGAAGTTTAGTTTTTACTCAAAATGAATTAAAACCTGTGTCGGTAAATACAATGTAAATCTTTTGCCTTCTCTCCAAATACAGATGTCAGGTGTACTTTACTATTATGTGCGTAAAATACATGTGGTCTATTCAAATGTATTTTTAGCAACTTAAGTATTGGGTAGGCACATTCCGTTGGTCAAATATAGAAGCAGGAGTTATGAGAGACTTGTCAAGATTATGATGGTAGAATGAATAGAGATTATTACCTCTGTCTCTAATAAAGTACATTGTGTACAATGGTACACGTGCGTAGACACCAGTCATCAAAGCCGGCACGTCACACACTTGGGAGCAAATAATTGGAGCCACTAGCGGTCTGTTCACTTTATCGAAGCCACAATAACTTTAAAAAACTATTCCTTCTACAATAAAGGTAAATTAAATTGCCTTTTATACGATGCGATATACGTTACCAATTAATCATCATCAACAGCCTATAAATGCCTAATGCTAAGCAAAGCCACTTCTCACACGGAGAAGGTTTGACCTTTAATCACCACGCTTGCTCAACGCGGGTTGGCGATTTCAAACTTATAATTAGAAATTATAAGCTCAGGTTTCCGCACGATGTTTTCCTTCACCATTTGTCAGGGGTGTCTAGATAATAATATTAGAAAGTAGCTACATATAACTATACTTGTATCAGAAAATATTTATTAATATATGAAAAAAGGCTAGTGACTCCGTTTCTTTGCCCTCAAGTATATCTACTTTATACTATACACAAGTGCCGCACCGCTGCGGGCGGCAAATTGTTACACGTAATTTGCACGCACGCCCAAATACCATGTTGTACTGAGATATAATCATATTGTCTTCATAGTTTTACTTGTTTTTTTTTATTACGATGTCCTACCAACTGACTTGTTTTTTCAGAAGTATCAAATTGGTCAAGTAGGACTAGTAAAGTGTCGTGTCGTGTTCGGCTTCTTAGGATTCTAAGAAAGTGGTTCCATCACATTTTAGTACCGGATAATCAAGGACCAGAATACATATTCATGTCTATATGAAAACTTTGTATGTAAGTCCGTCTAGTGCTTGACCATATCAATAAACGAAAGCTAATTTATCACTTTTATATAAATGTAACACGATTAATATTCCGTTTGAAGTGCCAACTACCCATTACAAATTGATCATAAAGTTATTGTGAGTTCTATAGGTTATTGTATGGGCACTACATACTATGACTACATACCTATACTTATTATGACGGCAGCAGTGACCTAGTCATGTATGGAAGGACAGTGAAGACGCACATAGTTCGTGGTATTGGTCAGGTAATCCACCACACCGTAAGCGCGGGCCTGCGGACGGCGAGCATGGGTGGCTCCCCGTCCGACCAGAAACAGACCCGAGCGTACGGCGCCGTGCGTTCCGCGCGCGCCTCAAAGAGCCATCAGACCACCACAGATGGGGCCCAATACGGTCGATGCCGATTCGGAGTCGCGGAGAACCTAACGGGTAACCGGGGCTCCGACTCGACGTGCAGGAGAAGGAACGCGGTGGTCTTTAGTCAGTAAGAGCCTGACACTCCCTCCCGCCTCACCCAGGCGGGAGCAGTCATTCGATGATTTTCCCCCCTTAAAAAAAAAGCCATAAACATATTTAATTATTATGTATTGTCAACCAAACAGAAACAACCTTCAACAATCTGCAACTAGATAAATAAAACATTACAATAATATTATGCATTGCTTACAACAGTGGGTTTATACATTATTGATATGTATGTATGCAAAGTAAATTATTGTTTGTCTATGTCTATAGAAGTCTAACGGTTCTTACTAAAACTCACCTAGCCTAAACCTTAATGGCACGCCTTAATACAAACGACACGCCCATAAACAACTTTAATACTAAGTACCTACTTACCTACATAGTCTATGTGTGGTTCTATAAAACAAGATGTACCAAAAATATACGGGTTACAGCTATAAAAGTCTAAGGCAGTCGTAAAAAAATTGTAACGTTTATAAAATGTTCCAACAACGTGTTTTTAAGTGTGTCATTCTATTTTCGAACTCACTTTTTTTTCTATATAAAAATAGTTACAGTTTAAAACTGGGAACTATTATATGTACTTAGAATTCACCAACCAGTAATTAACTACACAGTTAATATAAACCACTATCAGCTAATCTAGAGTGATATCGCCATTTTATGTGAAAAAAACCTGATTAATAAATAAAGACAAACTCAAATCAAGGTCTCAAGTGGTCTATTAACCCGTCCACAGCTACCGTCATACTCACAAATTGATAAACATACATCCATGAGTGATGGCTGTTTGCAAAATACGAGCGGGTTAACTGATTACTGTGGTGGTACGGCTAAAGGCAGATATACATTACCGTGGTGTAGTGTGTCGTCGCTACCAAGTTACCAATCGGCTGCAAGCCTTTAGCGGCCGATGTGTAAAAGCGATGTGCTTTTGGAGCGACGCGCCGCGACACGCCAACCCACGGTAATGTATTTCGCCTTTTTTTGGGTCCTCCAATGCCTTTTCCTACCTGGGGTGAGTCGAGAGAGAGAGAGTGTTGGACTCTTACTGACTAAAAACTACCCTGTACAGCTGCTTCGAGCCGGAGCGGAACCCCGGTAATCCACCAGGTCGTCCGCAGCTACAGATGTATTTGTTCTGCCTTATGGCGTGTTTTTCTTTCATTAAAACAATAAGGTGATAAATTGTTATTGTCTACACTTGTAAATTAGTACTAGGAAAATGAGTAATGCTTTAAAATATGCTGTTTTACTCGGTCCTAATTCTGCTAAGTAAATAATGTGCGTTTGTTTACAAATCGGGAACGCACGTTGTTTTTTGTACAGTGCAGAGTACAGCAGTAGGTAAGTACTTACCTATTGTTTATAAGTTGGTATTCTCATCGTAGGAACCTCCAAAGATATTGAGACCAAAAGTTGACTCATGTTGTGCAATAGGCATAAAATTATATTTTGAATACATACTGCACTTACTTAAGTAAAGAGAAAGATATACATAGTCAGTTAAGTTTATTAATAGAAAATACTATTGTGTGTTTACTTGTGACTATAGACCGTGGTATAGGTACTTAAATATTCAACGAATACCTGTTTGCCTAATATCGACGGGCACGCATGTCACAGGTCCAAAAAAAAAACTATTACAATTTCACAGCTACCATTTTAGAGAATATTATTAGCAACAATTTCACTGTAGCAAATTAATTTGAATATTATGTAGAACTTCAACGTCAGTGTCATAAAACTAGGATTACAATCACGAGACCGGATGCCTAGTGAAAAGAATAAATCAACATTAGATACTAATAAAGTTCTGTACATTAGAACGTTATCAAAAAACTTCCATAGAATTCAGATAGCACTAAATAGGGGCATTAGCGAGAGATCTTGTAACGTCAAGTTTCAGGCTTCCTAGCACATAAGGGGCAACGCAAAGATAACTAAATAGATATTACAAATGATAACTAATATTAAGAGCAAACAGCTGTCGGTACTTCACAAACACCTCGTCACGACACCTGAGCGTGACACCTCAATTAAATTATAATTGATGTTCACATACTCTACACTACTTTGATACAATATTTTTGCAAAAATATCTAAATGTTGCGCAGTAAGAACTCTTTATTCGCAAAGAGCTTTAATTATTCCTTCACTTTTTACAAGGCTGGCAATTTGAGTGCAATATTAACACATCCCAAGTGTCTGTAATTGTAATCAAGTCGGACAGCTGAAAGTGTACACCGATTAGACTTGATCTCTCAATTAATTTTCTCAAAGTCAATTTGAAGTTTTAATTGGTGTAGATAACAATATGAGACGCGACTATTTTACTCTACAATTCATTCATTGGCTGGACTAGGCCAACTGGCCAACTATTTGGTCGCTGGTTGATAATTTGATTCACTTTTTATTAATGTATTAGCAATGTAACCAAATTATGTTAAACAATACTGGTACGTCCTAAAAAATTTACATAAAACCTCGTTTACGAATGTCAAAACAAAATAAAATTCAAAACATCGACCGAATGTTTGCAAAAACGCGGCAAAAGAATATTAATGTTTTTAAAAATTTGACAAAAGTTATGCAGTGACGTAAAACTTACCCAGCAAAATAAGGGCAACTGCCCAAATACATAATCTCCAATACATGTTGATCACGTTAAATAAAAACACTATTCACTAATAGTTCTTTGTCTATTTAAAAACATCGTCTTTTATTGTAAATCAGTCTTTTTTCTCTCCAAACCACCACATCCTATCGATTGCACGATAAAAATTCACTATGATAACATATCTTTCATTAATGATTAATAAAATATAATAAAACTATTCAATATTAGTTCTGGCCACTTGTCTAACGAATCATTTATCATTAGATTTCCTTTATCGTATTTTATCGAAAGATTGGCGGGAAAAACACGCGCGAACTCCACGCTTTCCGTGTTCCGACTGATGCCGCGGAAAATCTCAACAAGACTTTTCAGGCATAGTCAATGACCGATTTTTTTCGTGCGCCTTTAGTGATGTGAATTATTAGTGGAAATAAAAAGGTTTATATACAAGGAGCACTTATTTTAATCTTTAATGAAACCATATAATATTTAAGTGATTTATTACCAAACGATAAGTATCAGTCTGGTAGCTCTATCACAAGTAGAATTTATTTTATGACCATAACAACAGGTGACGAGTGAAATGAATATCTTTAGATGCTAAAATAACGTTAAAGTATTATAAGTATTTTCCTTTATAAAAGACTAGCTTCTGCCCGCGACTTCGTACGCGCAATAATGATTTTTCCCGTTCCCGTTCGTGATACTCGATAAAAAGTAAAAAAAAATAAATATTAAAAGTATCCTATGTCCGTCTCCTGGTTCTAAACTACCTCCCCACCAATTTTCATCTAAATCGATTTAGCCGTTCTATAGTTATAAATAGTTTAACTAACACGACTTTGTTTTATATATATAAGATAACTGCTTTTACTTAGTATTAAAAGCAGTTGTTTTTTACCCTACTGTATTGTTTTTTATTATGTCTCAGCAACGCTACCAGTGAACAAGCTACAATATACTACGGTTGTCAAGTGAAGTCAAGTATATTGCATCAAACCACGGTTTTCTTACATGATCGTTGACATTATTATTATGTTTTCAATGACAATGACATCGATCAAGATCGATACAGATAGGCGGACATGTAACTAGTAAGTGTTTACGCGCACATATTTATAGAACAAAGGGAGATGGATTTTCGACATTATTATTAGAATTCACTGTCACTTTTGGTAATGGACCGTAATTATCAAGCTGATTGGTTTCACTTATTGAAGGAATTTGTTTATTTTTTATGGTTGGACATTTACTTAGTTGAATGGCTGGATGGATGGTACTTAATTATGTGGCTTTGTGGTTTAGCAATATTGTCTAATTTTAAAAGTAAGTATAGTGTCCTACATGACGTCTTGTTTTAAAAATATTAAAACGAGATGTTTTTTAATTCTCATTAGTAGCACTGAGTCTAGAATTGTGCTCGGTATATGGCAATAGGTTCACCTCCTATTACATAGGACTCCTAACATAAATAGTGAAAAGTGGGTGTTACACTGTATAGTTGCATTAAGTGCCGTAATGTGCACTTCTGCCTAGTGCCTAGTAAGTACATTTTATTTTACCACTTGTGTCATTCCGCCCAACTGAGTAGCGTGCAGTCCTATAAAGAGAAAATAAGCAATTTAGTAAATAGGTACATACATTTTAGACAAGGTAAATGTGAATCGTTCATGGTCAGATATAAGTATGTGTTTGATAAATAAAATGATCCGCCCCCTGGCCTCACATGGGTGCTAATTAATAATGTGTCATCATTGAGAAGCGCCGTCTTCGATGCTAAGTAAGATGGCAGTGGCCGAATGTAACTGTACCATTGAATATTTCACGCCCTTATTTAAATACTGTACAAATTTTTTTTAACTTTGCCCTATATTAGGATTTTGTCCTGTGTCGTGGGTGCGTTTACAAACATACAAGTTAACATACACAATTCAAAATCTCTTGATTGAATTGAACTGGGTTTTTAAGAAAAACTAATAATAATGTTAAAAATGCTTTAAGTTTTTAATATTTTTTCAGTGAAAGATTATTGATTTATATTTTACATTGCAGTGAATCCAAATAATCAAACTTTCATTAATTGATTTATCGATACAGACAGATTTTATATTCTCTTATTTTTGTAGTTAATTTTAAAGAAGTAAATAGTAGATGATTTGGTACCTACACCAAAAGTAAAGTTTGTGCAAAATTCATTCATAGAAAACTGTATAAATATTGAAGTGTGATTACTACTTAAAATTAACTACAACTAAACTATTAAATAAAAAGAAAGTAAAAGAAAACAACAAAAATTATACCCTTAATTTAGGCGTCAAAGTATTCGTCCGCATCACTATCACAGGGGAAAGTTCCCAGAAGACTGGCAGCATTGCCACGTTGAATGGCAATGCTTATTTTCTGTCCGAAGAAAAAGCCAGCCCTCTGGTCACGTGTAGATTCGATTAGCCTACGGGCGATGTCTTTAAACACAGAGTGTGCACTGGGACCCCATGGCCCAAGTGTTTCGACCCCAAACGGCTCAAAACAGTAGTTACCCACTAGATTTGAATATTTACGCCGTTTGAGGGCCTCTGCCGCGGAAGCAGCCGCACCAACGCATGCAGCGGTGCTTAAAAGATGTGATGGCGCAAGGGTGTCTACACACGTTACAGTGTGATTACTTAGTTGGAAAATATGGAGATATAAACTTACATAATTGTCATATTTATTTGTTCATCCAATGCAAGATAATTTCACTTGGAAACAGCAAGTCATGCTGTGATAGGATTACTTATTCTATCAACGATATAAAGCACTTACATACCTCAATACGGTAATTGACAGGTAGTTAAATTCAATACTTTTATTGAAATGTCAAAAACGATACTTTTCTATGAATTTTGTATCGGATCGCTACTTACGACGTCATCATAGGTATTTCTGTGTCAAATAACATACTTATTTCCTTAAAATTAGCGAGGAAAATCCAAAAGTAGGTAAATTGTCAAATCAGTGGATGAGAGTATGATTATTTTTTAATTATTTATTGCATTGATAAGTTGAAACAATTTATTTTATAACCAGGAAACTAACCAATTTTATACATAAACAACAAACATTTCATACAATATCTCACAAATCCTCCTGATTGACAGCGATAATAATCTAAAGAAAACAATAAAACAACTAAGTAATGTTTTACGCTTATTTTTTTATTTCAATAAAATAAGGTTGTATATCAAATTAGGAAGCCTAATTACTTAGTCGCTGGCTGATTTTTCCAAAAAAATATAGTAAAAGTCATTATGTCGGTATAAAAAAATATACCTTTTTTTTTTGTTTTGTACTGTACCTATTAAGCAACCACGTTCCCTGACAACCAGATACTTTTGTATGGAATAAAACCTTTTTAATGATGCGATTCGTTAGTATGTCGTATTTAGGTATAATATCTTATTAAATTATTTAAAAAAGGACAAAGAAGATATGTCGCAAAATCGTTGCGATTATGGAAATATTTTTAATATAGCCCACAACGTACAAATACAACATTCCTTGAAATATTGAGAATATAATGTATAAATATAGACAGCTACATGCACTTTAGTCGTAAATCATAATTGAATTGTTTTACCGTTGTACGTAACTACAAACAGTGAGTTTTGGCGGCTTTCCAAACTGCCCGTGAAGATTTATCTACACATTTTTATCGATTTTATGCTCAGAATCCCGGTTGAAGCAAAACTATTAGATACCATAGGCACACGAGACTACTAGTCGTAAAAACTATTTAACGTATTAATAAAAATAAATTATTTATATTCGTTCAGATGAATTCAGTATGTACCTATGTATTTTTTATTAATTATCATCATTTAATAAATTATTTTACTAATAATAATTTTGAATTAAATTTTCGGTGTAACTTTATGGTAGAATACTTTTTTAAACAAGAACTCACTGATTATAATATTAACTTGTTTCAAATTATTTGAATGCCATAAAAGTTTTCATTTTAATTCATTTTCTTTCTTGATCGTTAAATGGCTTAGATACATTTTTTCGTTAAAACCGACCAGGTATTTTTTAAATCTTACATTATATATAAGTAGAAAAAATACACACTGGCATTTTTTTCCTGAAAAAATATAGGTACTCTATGCCATATATTTTTTATTACATTTCTTCGTTTTTATAAATTGCACTTAATTTTTTTTTACTTTAATCTGCCAGTTTTATTTTATTAATTAATTTACTTACATAAAGTAAAACCTTTATGGTCATGAAGTTACACTTTACGTAGGTACGTAGTTATCTTTTTTGGCGTCGTTAATATCACTACATAATGTAAAACAAAGTCGCTATCCGCCAACTGTCTGTCCCTATGTATGCTTAGATCTTTAAAACTACGCAACGGGTTTAATAGATAGAGTGATTCTTAAGGAAGATTTTTATGTATAATAAATGCATATTGCACTCGTGCGAAGCCGGACCTTGTCGCTAGTGTCCTTTAAACTGATTATTAAGATATTAACTGTTTTGTATTTTTACTTTCAATTTTCACATCTTGTTTCGCATGCTCAATTAAATTGCTGATACATTTGTTGCTGTTCTGACTTATAATATTTCATCGTAATATTTATATTTTCGTCACAATACGACGTGTTTTGACTGAAACTACAGAACTTTGACAAGAGATATGAGGTCAAAACGTTACGTGTTGGCAGTTTGCCCATTTCATTCATAAACCAGTTGGTACTATGTACGTACGTATTGAATTATTTTTAGAATCAGGCCACTTGAACGGGTCAAATCAACCCTTCATACGCAGCCATCAACCTATGAAACATTATGGCGTGGAGCTGGAGAGTGAACGGTATAATAAAATATATATGTTCTACTATTTTTAACATTAGGTATATCTGTAGAGTTTTTCATGACCAGATGGACGCTCTTATAAAAAGTGGTAGATATCTAATACTTTTTGGACGTGCCCTATTTTTATTCATTTACAAACAAACAATTTTGCTATTTTTATTATGATTCTAGCTACTTCCGCGCAGTTTCACACGCTCTGCTTAGCTCCTATTGGTCTTAGTGTGATGTTTTATAGCCTATAGCCATCCTCGATAAAAGCACTATCCAACACAAAAAGAATTATTCAAATCAAACTTGTAGTTACGGAGATTAGCGCATTCAAACAAACAAACAAAAAAAACTCTTTCGCTTTATATAATATGTAGTATAAGATGAACAAACCACAAATACTCAGCTTTCCTTCGACAACCACATAATTATATAAATGCTGTTAATCTGCACTTATATAGTAGGTAGTTGCTAC